CTCTCCAAGCCTTTTTGTCCAATGATTTTAAGAAGGCAATCATACGAGGTTTCCAGTAGTCATAATTTGATCCATCCAGAATGGGTGGTCTGTTCCCAAATCCTCCTTCTTTGTCCATAACGCCAGAAAATAATATCCCTAAATCTCACCCAGTAAGACAGGCAGGGTGCCTGCTCTGATGCCAATTGAAATTCTGGCAGCAGATACTTAATGTCACAGTGAATGTTATGACACCGTATCTGACACTCTTCAAGACAGTAAATTTAAAAGCAGTAAAGAACACAGTCAATTGTTTACCCAATTCAGCGTGTAACAACACCTACTCTGGGGGCTACCAAGCCAGGGAGGAAATTCACTATAAGAGATATTAATTCAGGAATAAACCAACCAGTTTATCTCCTTCACTTATGACCTGCCCAATGCAACTTCAATCTAAGTTCAACTTAAACCTGAGTTCCTACTCACTCCCCCTCAATCACAGCAGTGATACTAAACAATTGATTAATGAAATTATGAAGACACTCTTTAGTACATACACTTGATTTTGCTTCACAGCTTTAATCAAGTGACAATCACTCGTGCTTCAAAGCTTTGAGTGATACACAACCCTAACTTGACTTTGCTTCAAAGCTTTAATTAAGTAACACAAACACTCGTGCTTCAAAGCTTTGAGTGATACACAGTCCTTACAATCAAATCCTACTCCAAATCACTTATCACAATGATAATTGATTGTCTCACAGTAGTTACAACTATACAGTCCCTTATTGATCTTATGTCAAAAAGTGTTCTTCACCAACAGTCTTCATGAGGAATATATAGGCAGCTATTCTTCAGTTAGGGCTTCCACGAAAATAGCTAGGGTTAATTAGGGTTAACCTCAAGAATTGGTCATAGGTCTTTAACAACCAGATTAGGGTTAAGCAGAGTTAACCTAATGTCCACGTGAGAATCTGATCTGGACTGTATAAACCAGATTCCTGAAAATTCTCAGGAATAACAAATCTGCACAAATGTTAGATCAGTACAGGATGTCTTAACATTGGTTATGACAACAAGAATCATGTTTACTAATTTTGGTAGAATGTAATAAATATGATCATTGCATAATGATCAGCTAAACACTCATATTGAGCAGCTCCTGTATGACATTCTTTTTCTGCATAATGTACCTTGTATCCGAGAATGTCATGACATCAGTCATGACATTCACACAACTGGTTTTACCAAAAAACATGCCAATAACCAAACACTTACATTGCCTAAAATACATCTTGTACATATGTTGTTATACCTCATGCAGCCAATCTAAAGGAACTATAAGCTTGATGATGATTATGGATATTCTATAGCCACAAAAGATTTTTATCGAATATTTTGGTGTAGTACTTTATGATCAAAAGGATGGAAACAACCTCGCTCCCCTCTTACTTTGATTCGACTAAGTAACTTTAGTAGTCATACGAACTTCATCTTGATCTATCAGATATAACATGGGGCAGTTTTTATTCATCATTTGGAGATCCTCTGTTGCCTAACAAAGATGCTCCGGTGACAAATCTTCGCTAGCAGTAGCTATGAAATCATCGTATCTTCGAAATCGTCATAGTAAGGATCACGTCAGCGAAAGATGATTAAGGTAACACAAGTCAGAATGTTGATCAAGAATCTCTAGTATGATCTTGAAGTAAATTATTTCCATTTGTTAGTAATTCTATTGTAGATATAGATTTGAATCTAGGATTTTTTTTCTTTTACTTCACGGATTTCTCGCAGGAATCAGAGATCCAAAAACTCAAGGAACCGTGGTTGAAATAGAGATTGATTAGATAAAATATGAAGGATGTTCACATTCAATTATGATCTCTCTTGATTTGGTGATCCTCAAAGTTCACGCACTGGCGAATTGAATAACAAACGTGAAATCACAGAAAACACGGGAATCCGAAGTTATTCCCATAAATGGTGCCATTGTTCTGTCCTGGAACTAGTATTTGATGTAGTTAGTAAACTTAAGATCTTGAACTAGTGATTTTGATGTCTGATAAGACGGTGCAAGGCGGACATGCAAGGTTAGTACTCTATTGCCAAGTCAGTTCAAGATTCAAGATGAGTGTAGTGAAAAGTGGAGATATGAGAATGTACCTTGCTTTTCTGTGTGAACTGAATTTATACCTTAGATCAAGTAGAGTGAATTTAAGATGATGGGGGATCATCCATTTGGGCCTTTGGCCGGGCTGGAACAAATTTATATTAAAACGCGTACAAGTTTAATAATCGTATATTTAATAAAATTGATAAATTAACCTCTGTACATAACAATAAAAGTTAAAATATATAAATATATATTGTACGAATATGGGGTGGGGTGGGTACTAAGGTACTCGTACCCGCGCACATATCCACTTATTTTAGTGAGAAATTTCTCATGCCCGTGCTCGTAACCATTTTCTAGATTTTTAGCCTACCCATTGTGAAATTTTTTTGCGGGTACACACTGGGGATGGATTCCTTTTCCATCCCAAAATTAGAGTCTTTATCAAATAAAGTTCTACCAAATCAGAAATACATTAGAAAATTTTCAAGAGGAACGTCATAGCTAAGTATGGAGTCCCTTAAGTCATTGTTATAGACGACGAGATGCATATCACATACAAGAACTTCAATAAGATCTTAGAAGACTTGAAGGTTAAGCACCATTTCACGTTAGTAGAATATCCCTAGACCAACCGGCAGGCCGAAGCAGCAAACTGGGTAGTCTTAAGAGGTTTAAGGTGAAGACGAGAACCCGAAAAAGGAAATTGGGCAGATGAGCTTCCAAACGCTCTTTGAATGTATGTGACCACACCGCATTTATCTATCGGCAAAACTCCATTCAGATTAACCTATGAGACATAAATCATCATCCCTGTCAAATGAGGATAAAACTAAGGCAATTAGGAAAAAGGTTGATCTCCTAGGAAAAAAGAGTACCGCCACCATCCTCATAATTGTCGTCGTTAAACAAGCAGTAACATCTAAATACACCAAGCAAGTTTGACCCCGAGATTTTAAACCATGTGACCAAGTTCTAAGACGAGCCTATGTGAGAAGGAAAAACTCTAGAAATGGGAAACTTGCAGCCAACTAGAATGGATCGTACAAGATTAAGACCAACACTGGAAAATATGCCTACACTCTAGAAACCCTGATAGATAAATTCATTTTGAGGACATGAAATGCTGCAAAAGTCAAACAATGTTACATCTAAATATTTTGAAGTTTTCCTGAATATTGTAATTACTTGTACTCTTATGTAAGACTTTGAATAAAATAATTTATAATTCCCCTTGTTACAATTATGTTAATTTTCATTAAAAGAAGACTAAATCAATGGAAAATATGCCACCTTAGCTGGCACACCCCATCTCAGTAGTTAGCGATTCTAGATCATAGGAGGTTAAGCCCGAGATACATCGAATTCAAACCAGCCTCAAACCTGGGGGAAGACAAGAGGACTTGGTCCTTAGTCAGACACAATCCTTGCCCTTAGTAAGAAAAGAGGATGTAGCCCTTAGTAAGACACGTAAGGACCAACGTGCCATGATGGAGAATAAAGGGATGAAACAAAATCACATGCAAACAAAGCAATGAAACAAAATCCCAGGCGGATAAGTAATAAGTATATAGTAAAATCTTGAAGGCGATGCAAAAAAAAAAAACAAGGCAAAAAAGGAACAAAAAAAAATTACTAAGCATGTAAAGTATTATTCAAATAAAATTACAAATTCCTTAGCAATAGTAAAAATTACAAAATCATCCTACCTCCTCTACAAGCTCCCCATCCTCTCAAAATGTCGTCGTATTCGAGTGGAAAACAACACTTACTCCTCACAAGTATGAGAAAGTGAGTCGTTTGCATCATCTTGGTATGGAAAATTTAACTTGGACTACTCACAAGTGCCTCTCAATATTCAAGTGGAAAATATCAATCACTTTACAATCATCTTGTGAAAGTATAGTGGTTTGCATCACTACAAGAACCAACTAACGCCCCATGTTTGAGAACAGGTTTTAAAAGAAAAAGCGCACAAAAAGAAATTTTGATGAGGTTTGTCTTTTTTATAAGTTTTGAAAAGAGTTTGAATATGATTAAGTGTTTTGAGCATTTATTAAGAAAAGATTTTAAGGATCACTTGACAGTCAAAGTTTATTGAGAAAGATTTGAAGTTTGAAATAAAAAAGTTTTAAAAATTGAAGAAGTGGGTAGGAGATGAAGAGACTATCCTAAAGAAAAAAGATAAAGAACAAGAAATAGAAGGTCTCATTGTAAGGTATAGTTATAAACACCCCCCCCCTCTCAAATTTTCCCTCCTGATTATACATTTATCTGACTTAGGCTTCTCATGCATCAACATCATCTTCCATTAGGTCATTTACATACCATTCATTCATCGAATAATGTGCTTGAGACATTGGATCAATGTTAATAGATCATTGGTTAGGGTTTACTTCCATATGCTTGTGGTTACCAAATAAACCTTAGGGTTGGTGCTACAATCACCATGGGTCTCTTCTCAAACATTTGAGCATGTCTATGCTATGAAGAATATGTTATAGTGATTGCTTACACTATAAGTCATTGCTATTTAAACTTCTTTTCAGGGGCTTGAACTTAGAGGATTTTACTCGGACATGCCCTTTTGTCAATCCAAATGAGCTCTCTTATTTGCTTTAATCATGAGACATTGGATATGGAGCTTATGCAAAGGAAAAAGGAAAAAGCTTGAGGCACATGATTTCAAGAGGCCGATTATTGATCACAAGGTATATGGACACAAGCTTAGACTTTTGGTCAAAGTCAACTTGTAAAAATTGACTTTTTAACCTTGGTTTTACTTGAAGCAATTTATCTTATGGCCTGCCTTATTCCACATAATAAGATGAAAGGAAAATATTGAGAAACTCAAAAGAATCAAATTGATTGAAAAAAGTAAACTTCATTTACTTAGGAAGCAAAATTACACGTACTTCACAAGGTGAAAAGGGCATTTCCACTTTTTTACAATTAGAGAACAAGTTATGGCCAAAATCATACTTTTCTTATGCCATTGATCCCTGATTGCGAGATGACAGAAGATGGGAATTCTAAATTGAAGTAAAAGTTGAGATTCAAATTCAAGAAAAGTCAAGTTGCTTGAAATCACTTCATGATTTGAAAGACAAGCCAACATGTCAATTCAATGTGAATACACATTACAAAAGAAACAAGAAACCAATACACTACATACACCACCCTAATACACCTTAAAAACTAGTGACAAGTTTCTCCATTTTGCCTCACAAACTTCATCTTCACCATGATTCCATCCGAGCTTTGCCAAGAATTTCCTAAAATGATCATTGTCCGAAATCTTCAAGCTGCCATTCCATCTTCATCATTGTGCCTTCATAATCATTTCGTCTCCTTGAGGCACCACACATTTGAGAATCCCTTGCTCATACTACCATGAAACATCAAAGAAACAAGTCCACATATCTTCTAAAAAACCTGCAAAAAAGAGATCTGCAAGCAGCCCTGTTAAGCCATACCAAGACATGCATAGACAAATGCAACGCATCTCACTTTAATTCAGAAAGTTCAAATTGTGACAGTTCAAGATCTATGCACCTGAGCTCATCATGGTTGTATCAATTCAGAATTAAAACATACATACACACATAAGTGGGTCTAGACCTATGTACAAGAGTCATCATCAAGGCACTACCATGACAGATCCATATCAGTTACAATTCAGCTAAGCATAGATACATATATCATGATAGCCTAAACTAATTGATTTTATGACATTTTAACATAACTATCATTACAGCCAGCATCTAACCCAATTTCAGACCGTTTTTGCAGTTTACTTTTTGACTGTTTCCTATTTGACAGCTCATTATAACTAACTTTCAAAGCTCATAACAAACTTTCAAGCAACCCTAACCGAACCAATCTCAGCCCTTCAATCCATAACTGAAACTTCCAAAATCAAGGGCTCAGATTGTTCATTCACTAACTGATTCCTTATCTCATCCTATATAAATCAGCAATCTAGGTTTGGATGAGTTTTAACCTCCGCCGCCGCCGTAGGCGATTTCCGTCGCGGCGGAGAAGTTCACCTGAAATCGCCAAAGTAACAGAGAGCAAGGATTGAGTTGTGAACCTGAAGCGTCTTTGAGTCTAAACAAAACGACGCCGTTCATTCTTGATTTTCTTTTTCATTTTTTTAATTAATTTTGAAATCTAGATAATAAAAATCTGATAAAAAATGATTGATATAGACTGAAGTTGCTTGGGCCTGGAATCTATTTGCTACACGCACATTCTTTAGGCCCAATACCACCGTTTTATTTATCTTCAGAAGCTTGAACAAAAACAGACTTTGGGCCTTCCTAACACTTGCAAGCCCAGCGCCATTGTTACTGAAAATACTCTCATATCCTAATTTGCCCCTCCTGGCTGTTTCTTTTTATTTTCTTTTTTATTTTATTTTATTTTTGATAATGATAAAAATACATAAAAAAGGTAATAGGAGTTTAGTGAATTTTTTAGATTAAATAGAGTGTATTTTCACTTAATTCTTTTATCATTTTGAGTACCATTTTTTTAAACCATTTTATGCCATTGTTTTGTTGCAATTTGTGGTGTAGTTTTTGTAAGATATTAATGATTGAATCTCGATCTTGTATTGACCTATAATTGTGGAATTCTAAAGTATGATCCCTTAGTTTGATTTTAGTACAATTTAGTAAAGCTTTGCTTGATTAAATTGAACTAAAGTATAGTATAATTTTAGGTTATAAAATCTCAATCTTAGGTCCACATTGTATGATAATATTAGGATAGAAGTTTCCTTTGTTATTTCATTTATCTTTATTTCTCCTTTAAAAGACAAAAATCTATTTTTTGGAATAAATTCAAAAATATATTGAAAATATGATCCGTATTATACAACACGATCCTTAAGTAGATGGAGAAAGGTGATGTGTATTCCTTCCTGACTTTTAGTATATTCAAATACCCTTAGTCTTGGGGGACCATTTGGTATACGTTTCCTAACAAGAAATCTTAAACAAATCAAATGCAGCATCTTGCCTTAGGACTTTTCAACTTTAACCTTTTCAACAAGGACATGTTACTTCTGTTCTACCGCAATACAACGTGTAAGTCTCCCAAGGTCGAGCAACAACATTAACTGCTAGAACGCGAATATAACATCGCCCACTAAAAACATCCAACAAATAAACTTTTCTAGACGAACTACAGAGCTCTGATTTCTCTATTGTACTATGGAAATACGTAGACACGAGGTTTCACAACTGATGCGAGCTCACTAATTTAAAACCTTTTAGTTTCCCCTAATTAAATCCTTCCTCATTTTTAGCAAGTAAACCCATAGATAACAACATCCTTAGAAGTAAACAAACAAAGTGGATCCCATTTATTACAAGTATATGAGGGGTGTTAATATTTTCCCCTCGCACAATCGACTCTGAAATCCGAATTTGGTTGCGACGACCATCTTCCATACCTTTTTGGATTTTCTCTATGTTTCCCCTTTCCTTTGGGATAAATAAACTTTGATGGCGACTCTATTTTTTCGCGACGCGACAGATAGCCCAAGAGAAAGCTTTTTGTGTGGAAGTGAGCTAACCACAAGATGGAGTAGGCATTTGACATAGATCAAAATGAGCATTCATTTCCCTTTGGATCAAGCCATAAGATTAGCAAGCATCAATGAGAAGATGGATATCAAAAGATCCAAATGAACAACCAAGTATCAAAGCCATAAGGATCAAAGTCTCAAAAAACAAGGCCAAGTATTGATTTGAAGGTCAAAGGTCTAGATGAAATCCAAGGTCTCAGGTGAACAAAACTCCAAGCAAAGGAAAGAACACTAAACCTAAGTCCAAAGTCCATACTCCTCAAGCAAGGGATAATAACAAATAGTCCAAGATTAAAAGCCACGCTTTTAGGGTTTTGCCTTTATTAATGTCTTTTGATGAAAAAGAAAAAGAAAAGCCCAGGGGCCAAAGTTAAAAAAGGCATAAAAGTAAATGATATAAACTAAAATGACATGAAATGTAAAATGCTTGAAATATAAATGACCTTAAAAGTAAAATGCATAAAGTAAATGTTAGAAGTTAGCAAAATTAATGTTAGTGTTAATGTTAGTAAGAGATCAACTGATTCAGTATAATTTAGCGTTATATTAAGCAATCGTAAGTGAACTTATATAGAATTTGCACCTATTTGAGGCTGGTCAATAAAAATTTATGTGTCATACATGTTAGAGAAATGACACAAATCATTCTCCTAAAACATGTAACACAATGTTACAACAAAATAAAAAAGACGAAGGAGACGAGGAAGGAAAGATTGATCAAACTAAAACAAACACAACTTGAGATCATCTATCATCAATTTCAATCACATATCTTGAGTGCATAATGGGATAAACCTATCATCAATCAAAAGTACCAAAAATGATCCAAATGATCATTTACTGATAAGTTTGAAATGATGAAGATTCATACAACCAAAGCATCATCCAAATTTCATTGATTTAATGAAGCATTGATCAATCAAGCCATGATCAAAGTCAACCAGAAGTCAAACAAAAAATAGATGGAGAAAAATAATTAAAATGAATTTAAAATGGTTTAAAAATGATTTAAAAGGGAAAATAAAAGTAAACTTTAAAAAATGCATCAAATTATCAAATAAGTGTTCGAGAAAATTATGAAAAGTCAGAAAAACTCCAAGGATCAAGATCTCAAAAGTTGGATCCAAAAATATTTGAAAATAATGGAGAAATAATTTTTTAAAATTAATTAAAAAAATAGCAAAAACGGCTTAAAATCTCTTTAAAATTATGAAAAAAATCACAAGAGGTAGAAAATATTTTTAGAAAATTATAGAAAAAAATTGGAGTTAAAAATCATTTAAGAGCTATTTTAAATAAATTTTGAAAGAAAATGAAATTCAAAAGAAAATAAGATCCAATGGCTAGCAAGGTGGCGTGTCCTGATTGGTTAGAATTCAAATTTTGGAACCACAACGCACAAACCTCACATCGTCTTCAACCTTCAGCCAGGGTTTTGCAAATCTAGATCTATGAGATTCAAGCCCAAACACTACATGGTTTAGCTTCGTATTATGTCATCATTCTCATCTCTCTGCATTGGAGCCATTGATTCACTCCAAGCAGAGATAATTTTGTAGAAAACACAGAAAACCTAAAAGCTTCAAAGTAAAATTAAATACCAAACACAATGAATAAATTCCAGACGAGTGAGGGTTATTGTTCAGTGAAACAACACGAAGAAGATGGTATCGAGTTTCAGTTGAAAAAAAACTTGTATCTACCTGTCCCAAGTAAGCTTCAGAGGTCAACAATGGTGGATTCAAGTTGAATGTTGAAAGGCACAAAAAGATTCAACAATTCTTCACACAACTTCAAAGGACGCTGATGAAGAGTTATGGGTGGAGAATTAGAGTTAAAATAAGCTAAAATTGGAAGTTCAGTTTTCTAGTTTTTGAAGTATCGAGTTTGGATTTCAGCAACATTTTAAGGCTCTTTAAGCTTGAAAATTAAGGAAAATGCTTTCTCTATTAATAAGGAAAGTGTTGAGCTCATCATACGTGTGAATTCTAATCTCAATCGTGTGAACCAAGTTTGGAAAATTTTAGATCCAAACCGTGTGAAATGAAGCGTGTAATCTGTGATTTTTGGCATGATTCAAGTCATTTTGTGTTGTACCAGATGTGTTTGGTCATGACAAAAAGTTCTCACATGTGCCAAGTGGTCCAAAGTAACTTTTAGTTCATTTCTAATTGCTTGTCACACTGCACAAATATAGTTCATGGTGCCATGTTAATGCTTAGGAAAAATGAAATCCCCTCGTGTGTTTTCTGATTTTCCTTGAGCCAAATGATACTTGTATGATGGAGAAGACAATGCAAAAAGAACCAAGTCAAAAGGATGTTTTAGTTAAAAATGGCATACTTGAAAAGTTGAGGTTTTGGCACTGAATTACAGGTCAGGCAATAGGTCGACCATGTCATGGACCTAGTTTTGTGCACATGTGACCTTGAGACCAATTCAAAATTTGATGAACTTAGAAGCATACTTGGTGTTTGATCCTTGAACAAAAGTTGTAGAGGACATCAAAAGGAACATTTGGCTCAAATGAAGCATAAAAAATATTTAGGATTGAAGAATTTATGCACTTTGGACCAAATGACATGCCATACTTGATTTTATGTCAAGCCATCATGTACCAACTTGTAATTTTTTATATTTTCTTGCATCCAAAGGCTCCATAATTAACATTTTAATACCATATAAATGTATCTTGATTGTCACTTGAATAAGCTTGAGATAATGCCTTAAGAAATGGATGAAAATGGAATGGAAATAAGCCATAGGTCATACTTGAATTATCCTTGCAAACATGCACCAACCTTGAACTTCCTTTGATCAAATGATGTTAATGAAGATTGACATGAATATGTCCTAAGATTATATATCATGGCTTGAAGAGAAAGCTCTCGTGGACCACTTGTTGACCAAAATTTAACTTGGGAACACAAAACCCTAATTTGGGAACCACACTTGATTCTTCTGATTCAAAGCCCTACCTTGCGAAACACGAAAAGGAAACAAAGCATATTTT